AGGAAAGTTTATTTCCTAACAGTTACCTAAAGGACAATTATTTTTTTCCTTTAATGCAATGTCACGTCTATTTGCTGGCCCTTGGCCGTGTCTCACCTGGGCTTGGCTTGACCCAGCTCGGTTGTGTGGCTTTGCTGCCCCAGCCCCTGTGCTGAGCTCCTCTGGTGTGATGCTCATCAGCTTCCAGTCAGATGAAAATGTGACCTTCAGAGGCTTTCAGGCTACAGTCTCCTTCATCCCTGAAACAGGTAAGAAGGAAGAGGCACCAGGTCCAAATTCTCATCCTCATAACGTGTTAATCAAGTCTCATCATTTGCAGCAGTTCTGTTCTAGAAAGTCGCCATAAACACTGAAATTAGTGAATACTGAACCAGTGCTCCTAGGGAAGATGCGGGGTTAGGTTCCTCTGAGCCTCTGGTTTGATGTCTATTTCTGTTGAACGTCACCTTATTTAATATATATTGTTGATTCATTAACACTGAACTCACAGCCAATACCCTGTAACTCAAACCTAAACAAAGCTTATCTATCACAGGCATCTTCAAAGGCAGTACAGTCTCCTTGCACTTAGGAACACCAGATGGCACTTCAGCACAAAGCTCGGGGCCATTTTAAACAGCAAAATCACCAACAAATCACACAAAAATGCAACAACCACAAAAAACACACCCCACAACAAAACATGGCACTAGAGAGACCATGGCAAGAACGCTTACTGCTAGTATGAGAGCTGAAACAAGAAGCAGAGTGTCACCTCCTCAGGCCTCAGTGAGGGACATCTGCATGTGGTGACTCAAATTCTTCACAAATGTCCACGAATGACCTTAGAAATGACCTTGGAAACACTAGGAATGCTAGCTTTGAGTTACACATAAATGTTAGTGAGTAGGTAAGTTTGCAAATACAGAATCCTCAAAGGATGAGGATCGACTGCATATCTGAATCTTGGCCTATGCTTACTAGATCTGTGACCTCAGAGTCATCTAAGGTTCCTTTACTTCAACCTTACAACGGGTGACTAGCACATGCCTAGTAAGAACGTAGTGAGGATTAAATCAGATAAGGTATGCTTGGCCAAGAGCAGGTGCGTGACACGTAACAGGGGCTCCAAAATGTGAAATGTCTTCACCAACCCCCAGTTCCTAGACACCTGAATTACACAGTTTCCTTCCAAGCCCTCACCCCCATGAACACTTTGTCCAAACCTCACAAAGCTTCTCAAGTTGTTCATTCTTGTTAGGGGGTAAGCAGCTAGTTATGGCAAAGCCAGGTTACGGTTAAGATACTACACTTTTTAGTTAAAATACCCAGAGTTCAGCTAACTGAGATGCCCCAGAATTATAACAATAATAATGTTCTGCTGCGTCCCAAGCACTGGCCTGGTTTGTGTGACCTGAGCATTATATTCTGCTTATACCCAGATTTAAACATCTCCAGATCAGAGGATGAGTCGATGTTTCTGGAGACATGGAATGTCCTTCCTGAAGAATACAATGAGTCCGGTAAGCTGGTATTTTGTGTGTGTTTCTTTAATCCTCACTGAGGAGTGAGGATATTTTTTCCATTGATTTTTAGAGAGAGTAGAAAGGAAGAGGTAGAAGGGGGGGGGGGGGAGAGAGAGAGAAACATTGAGCGGAAAGAGACACATTGGTTGGCTGCCTCTGGCTTGCGCCCTGACCAGAGCCAGGGATTAAACCTGAAACTGAGGTATGTGCCCTTGACTGAGAATTAAACCCAAGACCTTTGGTCCATGAGTTGATGCTTTAACCACTGAGCAACCGGCCAGGGCCAGTAAGCTGTTTTGAGAAATGTGACCAAGAGATACACATAGAGAGTTTCAGCCAGCGTTCAAACAGAGAACCCCAAAAGACATGTCAGAGTCCTTACCTCCAGTACCCCAGAAGGTGACCTTATTGGGAGAATCTTTAGAGGGGTAATCAAGTTAAAGTGAGGTCACGTGTGGGGACCCTAATCCAATATGACTGGTGTCCTCATAAAAGGGGAAATCTGGATGCAGAGGGAGACACACGCACACAGGGAGGACGTCACATGAACACGAAGGCAGACACTGGGGTGATGCAGTGTCTTTAAGCCAAGGAACAACGAAGTTTGCCACAAACCACCAGAAGCTAGGGGAGAGGCATGGAACAGCGTCTCTCTCACAGCCCTTGGAAGGAACCAACCCTTCTAGCACCTTTATCCCAGACTTCTAGTCTCCAGAACTGTGACACAATAAATTTCTGTTTTCCTAAGAACCAGTTTGTGATGTTTTGTTGCGGCAGGTCTGGCAAGCTAATACACCAGGAACTGGCTGACATGATTGTGGGGCGGACTAAGCAAGTCAGTCCAGAGGGCAGTCATAAGGGAAGCTCACACACAGTACACTGGCATACACAGGCATGGCTGAAGCCGTTCTCTACAGGCAGAGTTTCTCCTCTCCTCTGGGCAAGCCTCAGCTCTGCTTTTAGGGCCTTTCCAACTAATGAAGTCAGGCCCACCCAGCTAGGCCAGGATGCCCTTCCTTCCATAGTCACCTGATTAGGGACTTTCATCACCTCTGCAAAATCCCTTCCCACAACATCTCACTTACGTGTGATTGAATAACTGGGGGCTGTAGCCTAACCAAGCTGACACATCAAAGAATCCATCACACAGAGCTCTTTGGGCTGTGGTCATTGTCCCTTTTGCTCAAAGCAACACAAATGACCCAATCACAGACCTTCCTCCAAAAGCATCTCTTAGCTTCAGCTTTGTCAGCTGAAAAATGGAGTGCTTCTTTAAGTCTGAAATCAGGAACTTTTAAGTTTGCGTGACATGACAAATTCCTTTTTTTTTGTTTGCTTGTTTGTTTAATGCACTGAGTGTAGCACAGGGTGCCAGGGTTCAGGGGAAGGACATGAGGCTGGATTCAGAAACGTGGGCTTGCGCCCCAGCTTTGCTATTTTCAAGCCATGTGATCACAGATAAGGCACGGACTCTCTGAGGTTCTTTCTCCAAAATAAAGTGGTTGTAAAGAGATCACAACAATTTCAGAAGGATATGCTCCATTATGGGAAATGTTTTGTAAACGCTGCAGTTCTATGAAAATGAAGCTTTTACAATTATTCTTAGAATGGAGGCGTTAGCCCAGTTTGCTCTATCTTCACTTGTTCATAATTTTAAAAACAGACGCTAATTGTCCCCACAAACAAAACTCTGTTTGAAAACCTTCTGCTTTTGTCCCTATAAGAGACAAGGAAGCAGAGGCTGGGCAAGTTAGTGAACAACCAAATTCCTGGTTGTGTTCAAGTAGGAGGGGGGGCCAACTTCCTTCTTGTCTTTCTGTTGGACACTTTCCCCTTCTCCCCTTCCTCCTATTGCAGGTCTGAGGCTCCCGGCCCAGGCTGGGAGCCATTCCCCTGGAAACTGCATGTGCTGCCCCACTTACTTCCTGTTGTCTCGACAGCCCAAGCTGTGAACTCACATTTACTACCTTCTGGAGGCTCTACCCCAGCCCCTGCCATAACAGATGCTGTCTGGGAAGAGTTGAAGCAACTGCTATAAATATTGGTCGGGAGCTACACCAGTGGGCGTAGCTCTGCAGACATAGCTGCTCAGGAAGGATCCTCAGGCTATGGGTGTGGGAGTGATGGCGGGAATAGGACTCTACAAACTGTCCTTCTGACTTTTCTCAAACACAATTTCTGGCAAATTCTGGTCATTCCCAGTGTCTCAAGCCTCTTGCCTTTATACAGTCTTACTCCATCAGGCCCCAGTAAGCCTCCCATTGCCAGGAGTGTGCAAGGTTTTCCACGCCATATTTCTGCTATCCAAGTTGAGGTTGAAGACATTCCAGAAAGGAAAGTGTTACCCTTGCTTTATGACCATCTATGGTGCTGGGGAGTTGGGGGGGGGGGCGGTCCTGACCAGGTGGCATCGACATACTTTAATTTAAAATCCTTGAAGAGGAAAACCAAGGGAACTCCGATTCAAGAAACAGTCCGCACTGGTGATGGTGTTGGGTGCTTGGAGTGGGTAAGGTGCTCCATCAGTATTGTCTCATAAAGCTCACCCCAGTCAACTAGATTTATCTGCTGACATCCTTTTCTCAGGATGACATTTTTGCACAATGCACAAAGGACAGGCCAGAGCCAGGATGAAGAGGAAGGGATGGAGTGGGTAGCCACTTGTGTGGCCTGGCAGAAACAACAAGCTGAAGACGTGGCCAGGCAGCAGGAGGCTGCTGAGGGAGGCTGTGCACATGAGAAAAGAAACCCATAATTATAGCAATAAGAGCAGAAGAACTAGAGGGCAGGGGCTCCTCCTGGCTCCTCTGGTCCCAATCACAGGAAATGTTTTTTTAATAAATCCAAGTAAAAACAAATAGCCCTAAGAGACAAAAACAGTCATTCACTTCGTGTATTAGTTACCCATTGCTGCTGTAACAAATTAGCCCACATATACTGCCTTTAAAAAGCACAAATTTATTCTCTTCCAGTGCTGGAAGCCAGAAGTATGAAATCAGTTTCAACGGGCTAACAAGGGGCTGGTTCCTTCCAAAGGCTCTTAGGGAAAATCTTTTTCTTTGCCTTTTTCAGCTTCTGGTGGCTGCTGGCATTCCTTGGCTTGCAGCCCCTTCCTCCAACTTCAAAGTTCATTGCTCCAATTTCTGCTTCTGTCATCACATCGCCTTCTTCTCTGTCTCCTCCTGCATCCCTCTTATAAAGGATATTATGATGGTGGGCCCACCAGACAATCTAAGATAGTCTCCCCATCTTAAGCACTTTCACTTAATCCCAGCTACAAAGCCCCTTTTGCCACGCAGGTAGCATTCACAGGTTTCTGGGATTAGAATGTGGGTAAACTTCGAGAGCCATTCATTATGCCACAATTTAGGCTAAACAGCTAACACCTAGGAGGTGGTCATGTGTTGAGGGGGTAAAATGGAAATAAATACTTTTCAAGGTCAAAAAGCTAATAAAAAGTCCACAACAGCCTGAAAATTGTTTAGAGAGCAAATGCTCATTAGGCATCAACTTGGTCAGGGTGTCGGTTCCCCCAGGGGGAGTTCAGCAGTGAGGGAGACCCGGTACTGTACAGGAGACGCTGTCTTGTGGGGCAGAGTCTCTATATACTTCAACAGGGACAACAGATGTCCCTTCTTTCTTTTTTTCAGCAAGCACTTGCGGAAGGCCTGTTCTTTGCCAGGCCCTATTACCAAGCTGGGCATTTAGAGAGTGAGAGGTATTCATGGTAAATTTCAGGGGATTAGAAGAGAAGCCGAAATCCAGGCAGCAGGAGAGCAAGTGAGGGACCCATATAAAAAGTGTGTGTAGGAGTGCTGAGGAGAGGAGAGACTCTCTGCCCTGTCAAAATTACTGGGAGTCCAGATAAGGGCTTGCCTTTTATCCTGCTGTAAGATTGATAAAGGAGGATGTGCCGTCTGCCTCTCTGGTAACATGAAGGACTGTGCAGGGAAAATGAGAAGGGAGAATGGAGGGAAGAGGCAAACTACTAAGAAAGCCACAGGAAAAGGAGAGGCGACTTTTAATTCCAAATGCAAAAATGCTTTTGATTGATCAAAATGACCTTCGTTCTTTCATTCATGTAATAAATATTGATTGAGCATCTACCAATTGCCAGACACTACTCTACCTGGGATACAGTAGGAGTTGAAACAGACAAAACAAGTCTTGGCCTCATGGAGCTTCCATTATAGTGGAGAAAGGCAGTAAACAAGTAGGTAAGATATGTGTAAGATATGGTGGTAAGTCTTACGGGGCCAAATTAATCAAGGAAGCAGCATAGAGTTGTGATAGAAAGGACTGTTCTTTCCTTTAGTATTTATGGAGCATCTACCACGTGCGGGGCAGTGTGCTAAATGCTGCAGGGCAGAGATGAATTTATTCATTCCTGACAGTCACAGTGCTAAACCCTGGGGAAGCCAGGTTTCTGCCCGATAGTAGAATTTCCAGGCAAATGTGAGAATCAATTCTTTATCGATTGAATATTCAAGACGTAAATTATAAACTGAAGTAAAAGCTATGACTAGAATGTAATGTATACATCTAATTAAATTGGGGACAGGAGCAGGCATATCTGAAGAAGTGATAATTGAGCTGAGAACCAATGAATATATAAGAGTGGATGATATAAATACTTGTTATAAATTATTATAATTAGAACAGGGGTGGGGCAACTAGCTCAATGTAAGAAAAGAGAGAAGCTAGAACTAGACTTGTACATATATAAAAAATGTTATATGACAGCGATGGCATTGCAGGTTAGTGGCCAGGTACAAGCAATTCAATAAATGTTACCAAGACAACACGTTATCCACATGGCAAAAATTAAATTGGATCCCTGCTTCAAACCATACACAGAAATCAGTTTCAGGTGGTTGAGAGACTTAAATGTAGAAGAAAAATCTTTAAATTTTATCAGAGAAAATATAAAATCTCTTTAGAATCTTGGATATAATTAGGCAAGTCACAAAAAGCACTGACCGTAAAGATTAAAGATCAAAACATGTAACTACATTGCAATTACCAACTTCTATTCATCAAAATACACCCAGGGAGTGAGAGAAGAGGGAAGAGAGAAGAGAGAGAAGAAAAAGAAAGGTAAAATAAGTTGCAAACTGGGAGAAAACATTTGTAAATCATATAACTAACAAATAAGTAGTCTTTATAATATATGACTCCTAAAAACCAGTAAGAAAATATGATACAACTCAACAGAAAAATGGGTACAAAGCATGAACACAGACTTTTTTCCCCCAGAAAAAGAAATTCTGTGGGAAATAAGCACATGAAAGATATTCAACCTCCATAGGCAATGATATTAGGTCCACAGGCCATCACTTTACACTGATTATATTGCAAAAAAAAAAAAATAGTTAAGATACTGACAATAATATCCTGGCACCTGCAGGTGTTAGGGGAGGTGTTCATTACAAATGGGCCTGTGATGTGTGTTTGGGGCTAGGGGTAGGTTAATGGGATGGGAATCTATTGCTTGGCTTCTGTCTCATTCATGTCCAGGAGGCAGGAATTTATCTTTGCCACTGGGATAGGTGAACGATGCGGGAGGAGAGTGAGCAAGATTCTCAAACATACTGTGAAGAAACCCCCATAACCGACATGCCTGCCATTCTGCTTCCCATTTATTATTGGGTACCTGTCACCTCTCTCCCCCCATAATAAATGAATGAATGAGCACCTTGAACAATGTCTTTTTTAACTGGACCACACCCCAACCTCACCCTTACAAACACCTCGCCCTGGACCAGGCTCAGAGTAGGATGACTGCTAGATAGATACTCTTAGAATTGCCCTAAATTCCCAGTTCCCTTACCAGCATCCCTTCCCGCCCACTCAGACGCCCACCTTTCCTCCAGCCTCGCTCCAATTAAACCAGCAGAGGCCAGGGAGCTCCCCATCAGGGCAGCTCAGAGCATGCAGGGGGAGGACCAGGCTGGAGAGGGCGCCGCGTCACGCGTCAGGGATGTTTCACTAGGAACGAGGAAGCCCCTGGACGCCGCCTGGCCCCGGCGCAGGGCAGGTGCGGAGCCGAGTCACGCGAGAAAGAACTTTCCAACGCCGCGCCTCGGGCCGGGGGCAGGGGTGGGGG